GGGGGGGGGGGGGGCGTCAGTCCACGCCATCCAGGTCCTGACAGCCTCTGCTCTCGAGCCGCAGCACCTAGATGGAGAAGCCACGCACACGTCCACGGCTGGACGCTCACAACCACGCTATGGAACACGCCGGTTCACACCCAGCTAGGGGGGCCGTCGCGGGACTGGACGAGCAGCTGCGAGGCAGTCCCCACGATGTGCAAAGACGTGGGAAGGGTGCAGAGCACGTGCACTGGGCAAGTCTGGCAGGACGCGCCTCAGTGCATCGTGGGGGTCCCTGCCGGACGAGGACGCCATGGAGAACTGCATCTGCCCACACGCGTCCTCGGAGGGGTCTACGTTTGCCCGTTACTTGGCTGCGTGGCCTCCAAACCCCATTCCCGATCTGGGGGACCCCACCACTGAGCGCCCCCGGGGGAGCCAAGCCCCGCCTCCCCCAACTCCTCATCTGGAGGCTGGGCTGTCCCGGGCAGGATGCCAGCAGCGCCCCTGCACTCTGCCCGCTAGATGCCAATGGCACAGAACCCACCCCGGGCACGACAACCAGAAATGTCTGCAGCCCAGGCCCGCTGTCCCTGGGGTGACCCCTCGCCTGCAGCCCGGACGTGCAGTGTGACCCGGGGTCCATCCTGCAGATACGTCATCTGCAGGGGCGCCTGCCTCGGCCACCCGGTACACAGCGTGTCCTTCCAGCCCGCCGCGCTCTCTGGCTCAACGCCGTATCATCACAACATCGTGTTCTGTGCATCTGAGGGCTCCCTGCTGGCCGCCTGTCCCTCCCTCGGGCCGTTAAACTCCCTCGGGCCGTTACTACCTGTGCCCGAAGTGCCCTTGGCCCTGCTCCCGTGCTTGGCCTTGGAAAGGAGAAGGCGGGAAGGGCCCACGCTTGCTTTTACTAATCTTTCCTCACTCTATCAATTAATCAAAAACAGAAAGGAAAGGCACAGTGGTTTCGGAAGGCGTGGAACCATCTGGACCCTCGAGTCGGCCGCGAGGGGCGGCGACTGGCCCCAGGTGCCCACAGCTACCCACGCGAGGGGCGCAGCACCAGGCACAGCGCCCGCCGACCCGAAACGTACTTGCGCTTCGCGAAGCCGGGGCCGCAAAAAGCACGGCCGCGAACGTAAAGCGGCAGCGAGCCGGCGTTCCCCCCGCAGCTGTGGCTCGCGGAGAAGCCCCTTCGTTGCCCGACGCACCTGGGCCTCTATGCACCGGAACTGCCAGGGCCAGCTGGTGTTGTAGAGAAACGGCCGCAGGTCAAACCTGTTGTCGTCGGGGCTGTAGCTTTCTGCGTGGTACGCGGGTGTGAGTGTGGTCATCTTGTGCCTGTTCATGGAGTACTTGCAGAAAAACCACCTCACCTTGTCAGCCACCTGGTAGGCAAGGAACACGCGGACCCTCGAGCTCGCAAGGCTGCGAAGGCCCGGGGCCCTCGGCCGCGTCACGTCGCAAGGCGCAAGCTGACGGCCCCACGGGACCCCTCCCCCGCCCCCACCCCCGGGGGCAGCGGACGAGCACTGGTGGCCGCACAGCGCGGGTGGCTGAGCTGTAACGTGTCTGCCCCCGACTCTAGCGCCCCCGGACGCGGGGTCAGGAGACCCCGGCAGGGGCCCAGGAAGATACACCCACCGCACGAGGCTTCCAGGCGGTTCCGTGGGAACCGCCGCATGAGCCCCGATGGGCCTGACCGCAGGCGGGACAGCGGGCAGGGGCGTCGGGCCCTGCTCAGGGTAAGAGACAACTGGAGGTTGTCAGAGGGCTACCCCTGGAGGCCATGCTGCGCGGACTCACTCCCGCCAAACGGTCCCTGCGCGGGGACCGTCCTGCCGGCTTCCCTCCGTGGGACGTGCCCACGGTGTACCTGCCGCGGGGAACACACGTCTTTCCACAGGCTGACGAGCTTGCAGAACATGCCATAGGGCCCGGTCTTGGCGACCTTCCGGAGTCTGCCGTAGACGGACAGGTCCGCGTACGTCATGCCCATGTCTTCCTGCGGACGAAGGGAAGAACACCGCTGGGCCCGCGGCACCGGACGCCCGGGGGAGGGACGTGGCCCCAAAGGCCAGGGGCGGACGCGGGGGCTCGCTCCCCCTCACCGCCAGCGACACAGCGGGCCTTCGGAAGAAAAGATCCAGACCGGGTTTTGAGGGCTGGGAGGGACAGGAGAGCGGCCCCGGCTGGAGACCCGTGCGCGTTCTAGGCCCCGGGGGCGGCACACTGGGTGCGTATTTGGGGAAACAGGTCTGTGTAGACGCAACTAAGCGAAGGAGGCCGAGGCGAGATGGCCCCGGACGTGGGGTTGGAACAACGCTCGCGGAGGAGAAGCTGTGTGACGACGAAGGCGGAGGCTGGGGCGGCGCGACACGGCCCGGGAAGCCCCGGAAGCGGGACCAAGAGGCAGGACCGTCCCCCAGAGCCTCTGGGGGGAGCACGGCTCTGCCGACACCGACGTGGTGCCTCTGTGTAAGCCATCCGCCCGCGGCGTTCGGTTACGGCGGCCCTGGGGGGTGATGCCAGGACCCACGTCAGGCCCGACACCCCCCTGGCCCCACGAGAGCCAGCCCCACACTGAGGCTCACACAAGCCAGCGCTTCTCAGGTCCCCTGACGCTGGCATTTCGTGGCACAGCGGGACAGCCTCCCCTCCGACTGGGGCCTGCAGGACCCAGGACGAGGCCCTCCCTCCTGCTCCCCACTGCCCACCCTGGCCTTCCCTCGGGCCTCAGCTCCAACGTCACCTCCTTGGGGAAGCCTGTCCTGACCCCTTCCGAGGGACACTGCCACCATCGGGTCACCGGGGTCGACGGCAGCACTGGGACCACCAGGGGCCATCATGGTCACTTCCCGCTTGTCTGTCCCAGGGACTCACATAAATGGCCACGTCCCGCCGGTTCACCACCAAGTCCCAGTGCTTAGCGGGTCTTTGCCGCAGACTTCTTTTACCGCTCTCTTTGGCGGGAGATGAATATTTGCCGGCAATGACATTTTAATTCCTTAAATTCAACCGTAATCACTGGAGACTTTAATTCCTCACTTTCCATGACGTACAAAACTAGACAAAGAAACCACCGAGGAGATGAAAACTTGAACGCTGGAAACCAACTAGACCTAAAAGACATCTCTGGAACGTTCCGCCCAACGACCACAGAGCACACGTTCCACGTTCTCCTCGAGGCACATGGAACGTTCTCCAGGACAGACCAAAGGCCAGGCCAGAAAACTGGCCTCGATGAATTTTAAACCACTGAATCGCCCAAAGTATGCTCTCCAACCGGAAAGGAAGAGAATTGCACATTCAGTAACAGAAAGAAACTTTGGAAACTCGCAAATAGGCGGGAATTAAACCACACACTGTCAAGTAAACAGAGGGTGAGAGAAGAAATCATGGAGAAAACTAGGAAATACTTGGAGATGAAAGAAAATGATGTGGCTGGACTTATACAACACAGAAGGGCAGCAGTGAGGGAGGAGTCTATAGTCGTAAACACCTGCATTTGGAAAGAAAAAGATCTCGGGGCGCCTGGGGCTCAGTTGGTTAAGTGTCCCACTCTTGATCTCGGCTCAGGTCATGATCTCACGGTTTGTGGGATCGAGCCCCACATCGGTCGGACTCTGTGTTGACAGCTCGGAGCCTGTCTGGGATTCTCTGTCTCCCCCTCTCTCTGCTCCTCCCCTGCTCTCTCTCTCAAAATAAACATTTTTTAAGAAAGAAAGAAAGAAAGAAAGAAAGAAAGAAAGAAAGAAAGAAAGAAAGAGAAGGATCTCAAATCAGTGACCTAACCTTCCGCCTTCTGACAACACGCGGGAGGAGGCACACGCCAAGCCTCGAGCACACGGACAGAGGGGACGTACGGACTGGAGGGGAGACCAGTGAGACTGAGACAGAAAGGCAGTGCGGAAAATCATTCCCGTACACTGGCAATGATCAAATTAGGAAAACAATTCCATTTATAGAATGAGGAAAATAAAATACCTGGAAATAAATTTTTTAATGTTTGTTTTTGAGAGAGACAGAGCGTGAGCGGGGGAGGGGCAGAGAGAGG